ATGCAGAATTCCAGAGAATAGCTAGAAGAGATAAGAATGCCTTCTTAAATTAACAGTGCAAAGACATAGATGAAAACAATAGAATAGTGAGGACCAGAGAGCTCTTCAAGAAAATTGGAGATTTGAAGGGAACATTATCATGCAAAGATGGGCATGATAAAGGACCAAAATGGCAGGGACCTAACAGAGGCAGAAGCGATTAAGAAGAGGTGGCAAGATTACACAGAAGAACTGTACAAGAAAGAGCTGAATGTCCCTGATAACCACGATGGGGTGGTCACTGACCTTGAGCCAGACATCCTGGAATGTGAAGTCAAATGGGCCTTAGGAAGCCTAAGCAACCACAAAGCTAGTGGAGGCGACAGTATTCCAGCTGAGTTATTCAAACTCTTAAAAGACAATGCAGTGAAAGTGCTACACTCAATATGCCAGCAAATTTGGACACCTCAACAGTGGCCACAGGATTGGAAAAGGTCAGTTTACATTCCAATTCCAAAGAAGGGCAATGTGACAGGATGTTCAAACTACCGCACCATTGCACTCACTTCACATGCTAGCAAAGTTATGCTCAAAATCCTACAAGCTAGGCTCCAGCAGTATGTGGACCGAGAACTACCAGAAGTACAAGCAGGATTTCGAAGAGGGAGAGGAACTAGAGATCAAATTGCCAACATTCGCTGGATCATGGAGAAAACTAGGGAGTTCCAGAAAAACATCTACTTCTGCTTCACTGACTGTGCTAAAGCCTCTGATTGTGTGGATCACAACTAATTGTGGCAAGTTCTTAAAGAGATGGGAGTACCAGACCATCTTATTTGTCTCTTGAGAAACCTATATGTGGGTCAAGAAGCAACAGTGAGAACTGGACACCGAACCACCGATTGGTTCAAAATTGAGAAAGGAGGTCGGCAAGGCTGTATACTGTCGCCCTGCCTATTTAACTTATATGCAGAGCACATCATGAGAAAGGTGGGGCTAAATGAATCACAAGTTGGAATTAAGATTGCTGGGAGAAATATCAACATCCTCAGATATGCAGATGATACCACTCTCATGGCAGAAAGTGAAGAGGAACTAAAGAGCCTCTTGATGCGGGTGAAGAAGGAGAGCACAAAAGTTGGCTTGAAACTCAACAATAAGAGAATGAAGATCATGGCATCCAGTCCTCTCACTTCCTGGAAAATAGATGGGAAGAAATGGAGGTAGTGACAGATTTTATTTTCCTGGGCTCTAAGATCACCGCAGACTGGGACTACAGCCAAGAGCCAGTTTGGTGTAGCGGTTAAGAGCATGGGACTGGGACTCAGAGGATCTGGGTTCTAGTCCTTACTCAGCCATGGAGCCAGCTGGGTGACTTTGGGCCAGTCACAGATTCTCAGCCCAACCTACCTCACAGGGTTGTTGTTGTGGGGATAAGATGGAGAAGGAGAATGATGTAAGCTGCCTTGAGCCCTTTGTAGGAAAAAGGCAGGCTATAAAATAAATAAATAAATAAATAAATTTTTTAAAAGACGCTTGCTCCTTGGGAGGAAAGCTATGGCAAATCTAGACAGCATACTAAAAAGCAGAGACATCACCCTGCTGAAAAAAGTTCGTACAGTCAAGGCTATGGTTTTCCCAGTTGCAATGTATGGCTGTGAAAGTTGGACCATCAGGAAGGCTGAGCGTCGAACTGAGGCCTTTGAATTGTGGTGCTGGCGGAGACTCCTGCGAGTCCCTTGGGCCACAAGGCAATCAAACCGGTCAGTCCTAGAGGAGATCAACCCTGACTGCTCTTTAGAAGGCCAGATAGTGAAGATGAAACTCAAATACTTTGGCCACCTAATGTGAAGGAAGGACTCCCTGGAGAAGAGCCTAATGCTGAGAACAATAGATGGCAAAAGAAGAAGGGGCGGCAGAGAATGAGGTGGCTGGATGGAGTCACTGAAGCAAGTTGGTATGCGCTTAAGTGAACTCTGGGGGATGGTGGAGGGGAGGAAGGCCTGGAGGAATGTTGTCCATGGGGTCGGGCGCGACTTCGCAACTAACAGCAACAGAAGGGTCTGTGATGTCAGAAGGTCAATCTGCCTCCGGCCGAAGAGTGGAGTTCGCATGCCTTGAACGGGACCATCTCTCTTCCTAGCAGGCCTGGCTTAGGGTGCTGCCCCCTCCTGGGACAGAACGCTCCCTGGTTCCATGCCTCTGCATATTTTGTTGTGTTGGGGCTGTGCAAGACTGCCTGCACTGCTTCTCTTCATTTCCAAAGGGTGATGTTTCTGTGTGTTGCCCCTCATTGTTGAAGGGAAGCTGTTTGTCTCACTTGTGTTGTTGAGTGATGGCATGAGAGCAAATCCGCCATGCCTGGGCCGAGGAAATGCTGCCCCCCGGAACCTGCAGGCTGACGGGGTGAGGCGTTCCTGGGTCCATGCCAGGCAAGGGACAGTGAGGCGGCCTCCGAGGGCCGGGGGCGTTTAAGCAGCTTCTCCTGGGAGCCTGGCTGCTCTTCTGCCTGGGTGGGGACTCCCTCTGGTAGCCCTTTGGCTGGACTGCTGCGATGTGCTGCACAGCTGGACTGCCCTTGAAGACGCGTCAGAGGATGCAGCTGAAGGGGCACTTTTCCCCAAAGAAAGTTGCCCAGGCCCTGGGGTCAGCACCGGAAGCCTGTTCTGGGCATTCCTTCTGAAAGAACAAAGAGAGGTCCACTTGGTAAAGAGCATTTGTTGTGCAAGCCCCAGGCCACCAAGGTTTCTTCCCAAGGAAGGTGGTCCAGAGCCAGCAATATCTCTGGGCGCCCTTCAGTGCCAGGCAGAACCAAACCATTTTCCCAGGCATGTTGACATCATTTGTAGCTGGGGGTGGAATGCACCTTTCTGTTGTGTTGGGTTTAGAGCCTATTTTAGGATCTTATCTGAATTTGTATTATTTTGCTGACCGTGGGTTATTTTGTTTTTGTTTTTTCTGTTAAATTATATATTTTAGTATTTGCGTAAGTTTTGTGGCTGCTTTTTGTGATGGGAAGTGGTATCTAAATGTACCCATTCCATCTTTCGGGCTTGGGGCAGCGGCAGCTCCGCCACATGACTTGCGTGCCTCTTGGCATGATGAGCACTGTCAGCTGGGCATGAGAGGAGGGCTGGCTGCTTGTCTCAGGCAGCCGAATGGGGCTTGCTCAAGCATCTCACAGGCTTCAGCCCAAGGCTGAAGGGCCGCACGCAATTCGGTGAGTGCCAGCCCTTACTCACGGCTGTTAGTGGCTTCTTTAGATGATACTGTAACCCTCCGGTTTTTCCCGTTCTTAAGAGCTTTTCCCAAATTGTTTTAAAGGAAGAAAGATGAGTTATTTCCAAGAGCAAAAGAAACAGGCTTTCCTGCTTATCACAGAATCAGAGAAGGGTCCAGTTAGAAGGGCTCCCAAAGGCCCAGGTCCAGCCCGCCACTCAGGAGACCCTCCAGCGAAAGTGTCCCTGGCAGGGGCTGTCCAGCTGCCTCTCGGCCTGCTCCGCGGCCCTGGCACCAGTGGACATGTTGCCCCACGGCCGCCAGCCGCCGGGCCCCTGGGGGACCGTCAGGGAAGACAGAGGCCCCCGCCCTGGCGGGGTGCAGGGGGCAACGGAGTGGCCTGGACTCGCAGCCCAGGCCTCTCTGGCAACACGTGGAAAGCCTGCGCCTCCCTCTTCAGACTGTAATCCTGCTACTGCTTTGAGCAGCTGGAAGGAGCCGTCCAAATGGAGCTTAAACTCTTATTCAAAATATTTATGCCAAGGGGCACGTCTGTTCCTTAGCAAAGAAGCATCCGAATTTTGAACGAACACAAAAAACAATCCTGTTGTGAACTGCCTAAAGAGCTTCGGCTATGGGTGGTATTGAATGCAATAGAGAAGGAGGTGCGCCGTGCAGGAGCTTCTCGGCTGCCTGGCGAGGGCTGGAGAGCGCAGCAGGGGCGTGTGGCTGCGCTGGACACCGGGAGCCGCAGCGCCCAAGCCTCGCTCTGCCTGCACACGACTCCAGCCCGCCTTGGCAACACCCACTGCTAATGGTGCTTAATGGTGCCTGTAATTGGTGTCTCAAGTTATTTAAAAGTAAATTTACTAGAAAATAATTAGCAATTTTATAGTTCACTACTCCTCATTTTGTTGATTACAAAAAAATCCAGTGGCTTCTACCAGATGCCCCGATCACACATGCTGTTGAGATGAGCTGCCCTGACCCAGCGGGTGGCTGCTTGGCAAGGAGGCCCAGGCCGCTCTGCCCTCCAGTGTGCGGGAGCAGCCGGGGCGTGGGGCACAGGCCCAACCGAGCGAAGCTGAGTGGGGCCAGAGGCGGGGGGGGGGGGACGTTCGCCTGAGGCTGGAGAGCCGGCGAGAAGACCCAGTTGCAGGAACGCAGCAAGCCGCCACCCTTCCCTTCAAGCCCAGGCACAGGACCACCTAACTGCACGCAAAGGCCAGAACCGTGGCCCTCCGGCGGCAGGGCAGGCGCCTTCCCTCCTCCACGCCCACCAGGCAAAGCCCTCCTCCAGGAAGCCAGGGGCCGAGACAGGTGCACCGAACCCCCCCCCCCCCGAAACATGCAGGACCAACAGAGCAGAGAGCTGCGGCTGCTGTTGCACGGTTTTATTGTTCAGGGAGGGTCTGGTCCATGGTCGAGCTTCACGTCACGTTTCCGAATCTTTCCGGTAGAGGCGATGATGCAGACAGGGGTGGAAGGGACAGAGGGGAAGCAGTGTAGCAATTTAGCAATGAATTCCTCCTTTGTCAGTTTGTGAACTATAACATCCCCAGCTTTCCTGGACAATGAATCATCCAGTCTTTGCGAGTAGAAAATTAAACATTATTTATGCTTTGCTAATTGAAATCAAATATAAAATTCAATCTCCTGTGCGCTGGGAATGCTGACGTTTAAAACAGAGAGACAAAAAAAATTCCACTGAATGCCTTTGGAGCGGATGGCTTCCTCGGAAGAGGGGCGGTCTCCTCGCACAGCACAGCTGCCTTGCCACCCCCGAGCAAGGGGGCTCCTGCAGGCCCCTCGTGCTGAGGGCTGCCCAGGCTGCCCAGGCGGGAGGAAGGGACACGCACACTGTTGCAAGAGCCACCGCGAGCGAGCAGAGGCACGGCTTTTGTGCTTGGGAGGCGCACGGAGACTGCTTTCCTGACGGGGTCCATGTCCACAGGGCGGCCCCCTCTTTGCAGAAACCCAGACCAGCCTTCCCTTCCTTTGGCTTCTTGGAGCCTCCCTCCTTGTCTCACCAGTTCGACCCATATAAAAAATAAACCTCTGGAAATGTGGTGCAGGGTGCGGGAGGTGCGGGATGGCTCTTGTCCCTGCTGCCCGCTCAGCAGCTGCCCCATGGAGGGCAACCCGGGACATCGGCGGGGATGCCATACCCCCAGCTGCGCGCATGGTCCCTCCTCTCCGCCAAAGCGCCAGGACACCAGTCCACTTCCACCATGCGAGAGAAGGAAGCCCAGAAGTGCCCTTGGATGCATCCTCTGCTCCCAGAATCCTGCTGTTCTGGGCGTGTGGCAGAAAGAGAAAGCTGACTGTCCTTCATCAGGAGCAGAAGGGAAATCGGAGCTCCCGCTTGTGTCTGCGAGCAAGTTCCCTCCAGTGGGGACGGCACCACCTGGTCCTGTGCACCAGGGCAGACGAGCAGGCCCTTTCCCGCCTCAGGCAGATTCTGTGTGAAAGGGAAGAAAAGGCAGCCAAAGATATTGGTTAGCGAGACAGCCAAGCCTCCAGCACCCGCCTACCCCCTGCTGCCCCACAGGCTGCAAGTGGCAGGGCCCCATGTGAGTTTGCAGTGGGCCACCCTGCTGGACTGGCATGCTGGGCAGGGCCCCCGGGCAAACCTGCAGCCCACCGCCAGACAAGTCAACCCATGTGGCCTGGACAGCGTGGCCTGCTGACCCCCGTCCCCCTTCTCAGGCACGTGGGAACTAATGTCACTGTCAAGAGGAGCTTTGAGGACACCACGCCAGACCCTGAAACTCTAGGGAAGAAAACCAGGCTCTTTGGTGCCCAGATAGGATTCCCCTCAATCCTTCTAGTTCATAGAAGAGGAAAAGACCGGGGGAGGAGGATTCCTGACTCAGAAAATGGTGCTGGGTGAGAGATTTGGATTTTGAGACCACGGGCTACACTTCCTGGTAGATGGACTGCTAGCAAGTGATGGGCTGCACCTCACGAAGGAAGAAAAGAAGCTCTTGGCTGCAACATGAAGACGTTCGTGAGGAGGGCCTCAAACTGAATCCCACGGGGAAGGAAGCTGTACCTCCAGGCACAACATCAACTAGCAAAGGATTATGTATCGCGAGAGAGAAGGAAGCTCTAGCATGGCCTAACCACTGTCCCCCCAAAATGTAGGAAGGAAGCCAGGGTGTAATTCACATGGACTTCAACCCTGGTTTTCAAGAAAGCTGACTTTAACAGACTCAGAAGAAGAATAAGCAAAGTCCCACGGCAAGTCACTCTAATGGGAAAGGAGTCGAAGAAGGGTGGAAAATCTGAAAAAGAGAAATCCCAAGGACACACCTACAAACAATTCCAACAAGGGAAAAGGATGGAAGCCCATGTGGCTTCACAAAAAGTTGAGAGACAATCTGAAAACAAAAAGGGACATGCATAGGAGGTGGAAGGAAGGACAGACTACAAAGCAAGAATACAGACAGGTAGCACAGAATTGCAGGGGTGGCATCAGGATGGCTAAAGCTAGGAAAGCTTTAGATGAGGTTAGCAGGGGATGCTCAAAGCAACAAGAAAGCCTTCTTCAAATATGTCCAAAGCAAAACACAGACAAAAGAGATGGGAATTCAACTACTCAGCATGAATGGAGAAGTGATAGCAGACAACACAGAAAGGCCAGAAGTGCTCAGTTCCTACTTTGGCTCTGTCTTCTCCCAAAAGAAGAACTACAACTGTCCTTACAAAGGGAGAGTGCAAGCTGAAGACGCAGGATGGCAGCTCCAGACTGACAGGCAAATGGTCAAGGATCTACTAGTTGGGCTAAATGAGATCCTATCGCCAGGCCCCGATGACCTTCATCCCAGAGTCATGACAGAGCTAGCGAAAGAACTACTATCTATTATCTTTGAGAATTCCCGAAAGACAGAAATGTCAGCTGACTGGAGAAACACTGATGTTGTCCCTATCTACAAGAAAGGAAAAAAGATGAACCTGGGAGCGACAGACCAGTCAGCCTGGCATCAGGTCCTGAAAAAATTCTGGAGCAAATTACAAAGCCATCAGTCTGCAAACCCCTTGAAGACTATGCAGCGATTACTGGAAGCCCGCATGGATGTGTCAAGAACAAACTGTCAAGACTAATCTGATCTCCTTTTTTGATCAGGTCACCTCCCTGATGGACTGTGGGAATGCTGTGGACATAATCTATTGTGACTGCAGCGAAGCTTTTGACAAAGTGTCCCATGATATCCTGATTAGCAAACTGACTAAAAGTGTGTTTGATCAAACAGCTGCCAGGTGGATCCACAGCTGGCTACAAAGTCAGACCCAAAACATGCTCATCAATGGCATCTTCTCAAACTAGGGACAGGTAACCAGTGGGGTGCTGCAGGGTTCAGTCTTGGGCCCTTTGCTCTTCAACATTTTCATTAATGATATAGATAAGGAAATACAGGGAAAGGTAATCAAATTTACAGATAACAAAAAGCTAGCTGGGCTAGCCAAAATCCTGGAAAATAGAGAAAGGATTCAGTGTGATTTTGATAGGTTAGAATACTGGGCTGGGAGCAATGGAATAAAATTTCATGGGGACAAATGCCAAGTTTTGCATTTGGAACAAGAAACCAAATGCATCACTACAAGATGGGGGATACTTGGCTCAACAACACTGCCAATGAAAAGGATCTTGGAGTTGCTGACAAGCTAAATATGAGTCAATGATGGGATGTAGCTGCAAACAGGGCAAACATTATTTAGGCTGCATTAATAGAAATATCACTTCCACATCAGAGGAGATACTACTCATCACTAGTAAGACTTCAAGTAAAGCAAGGTCTCACCTGATCAATTCTGAGCACCAACGTTTTTTAAAGATGCAGAAAATTTGGAAAGGGTTCAGAGGAGGGCAACGAGGATGATCCAGAGACCAGGAGCTAAGTCCTACTCGACTAGTTCTGTCCTTGACCATTCCAGACTGCAGGGCATGGGATAATGGGCTTAAGGAACAGGGAACCAGAGTCAGGCTAAAGACTAGGAAAAGTTCCCTCGCTGTCAGAGCAGTACAACACTGGGACGCATCACCTGAGGAGATGGTGGACTCGGCGAGCCTGGAGGCATTCAGGACTGGCCGGACCCTCTCCTGAGTGGGATGGTGTGAACTGGTGTGCTGGGTATTGGGCCCAATCGCCTTCTTGGCCCCTTCCAGCCCTAGCAGCCAAGGAGTCTCTGTCTGAGGAGGGCTTTGTCTGAGAGGGGCACTGCTTCCCCCAGTGGCGTTGTGCTGAGGGAGCCGGACGCATGGCACCTTTCAGAGTTGCCAGCAGTGTTGCTTGGTTGGCCAGGGGCTCAGCATGGGAGACTGGCACCGAGCTGCCCTCGGGGCACCGTTCTGCTCCTCTTCCTTCCAGGGAATGCCAGTGCCAGAAAAGCCTGGGGGCTGGGGAGGGGCCCAGCCAATCAAGGAGGAGCTTTGGTGTGGGCAAGATTTAAAGCATAATCCTCTACCTGAATCCATTAATCATTGTGAATTAGATTGCAGAACAACATGGTTCTCATTTAGCTGGGGAAATGACAGTTTAATAACATGTGAAACAATCTGAAGTCAGGCCTGGTTCATATTTCCAATTTCCATGTACGAGTAGTAATAATTTTGTGGTTTGGAGGCTGGTGGTGGGAGGAGAATGTTTTATGTCAGATACTGCTTTTTCACCGAACTGGGCTAATTGGAAGTGACATTCACTTGTGTGGAACCAATTGCTCCCCTCCTGGAGCCCAGCCCTCTGCCCAGCGGTGACAAATGCACCGAGACCCCTTTCCCTGACCCTCTGCGCCAAGGCCACTTGACGGGGTGACGAAGCTCAAGCCTCCAGGCGGACTTGCCTGCCAAGGAACGGGAGTGCTCCCCAGTGCCATTTTCTGCTGCATTCGGCCAGGCCATGGAGGCTGCTTCTTCCAGGATCAAAGCTGAGCCCACTTGTGGAGATTTTTTGAGTGGCCCGTGGTCTTTTACACTCTGACCCAAGATGCCATACCATGGAACCCTCAAAGATGCGCTGTGACAAGTTTGCATGACACTTGGAGGGTCAAGTCGCTCAGATTCGTCTCGAGTTGGACACCACAGTTATCCCAGTGCCATTGGCAGAAGCATCCAGTACACCGTCTGGCCTAATTTTACTGTTTGAGTTTCAGTTATTGCAGTCCAAGGATGTGGACAAGGTGCTGGGTTATGTCCAGGCCACAACTTGTTTGCTCAACCTCTGCCCATCTTGGTTGACTGAGAGATCAAAGGAGGGGACTCATCCCTGGATCTCGGAGGTGGCGAATGCTTCCTTGCAAGAGGGAGTGGTGCCTGCCCCTTTAAAGATGTCCATGGTTACACCACTCCTTTAAATGCCACATCTGGATCCAGAGGATGTTAATAATTATTGATCCATAGCCAATATTCCCTTCTTGGGCAAGGTGCTCAAGTGGGCTGGGCACCTCCAAGAACTCTTGGAGGAAATGGATTATCTAGATCCATTTCAATTGAGCTTTAGGCCTGGGTTTGGAACAGAAACTGCATCGGTCGCCCTGTGGGATGACCTCTGCCAGGAGAGCGGCAGGGAGAGTGTGACCCTGTTGATTCTCCTGGACCTCTCAGCAGCTTTTGATACCATCAGCCATGGTGTCCTTCTGGAGAGGCTGGCTGGGCAGGGGTGGGGAGAGCCGCTTTGTGCTGGTTTCACTCCTATCTGGCTGACCGTGTACAGCTGGTGGAGCGGGGGACTGTTGCTCTGTGCCGTGGCATTTGCACCACGGAGTTCCACAGGGCTCTGTTCCGTCCCCTGTGCTCTTTAGCTTCTCCGGGAAACCGCTGGGTGGGGTCATCCAAGTGTCCTCAGTTTCTGACACTCAGCGCTACCTCACTCTCATCTAAACTAGGTGAGGCAGTGACTGTCCTGAGCTGCCTTGGCTCGGTGATGGGCTGGATGAGGGCCAATAAACTGACGCTCAGTCTAGGCAAGTTGGAGGTCCTGCTGGTGGGCAGTCTGTTGGTCCAACTGGAAAGCTTGCAGTCAATCTTGGACGGGGTTGCACTCCCCCAAAGGATACGATTCGTAGCTTGAACTTGTTTCTCAGGTGGCCTTGGTGGCCAGGAGCACCTTCTGTCAGCTTATGCTGATTTTTTGGCTACATTCCTACTTGGGCACTACACAGTCTCGCCAGTTATCCATGTGCTGCTAACCTCTTGCCTGGATTACTGTAATGTGCTCTGCGTAGGGCTGCCTTTGAAGATGGTCCGGGCTCTCCAATTACTTCAGAACAGAGCACTGAAGTTACTCACAAAGGCTGGCCTGAGAGAACACATCACACCGGTCCTCCGCCAATTGCATTGGCTGCCGGTTATGGCCTGGGCCCAATTCAAAGTGCTCAAGCTAACACAGAAAGTCTGAAACAGCTTGGGACTGGCCCCCTAAAGGAACACCTGTCTCCATATATCCCTACCAGGCCACTCAGGACATCAGTGGAGGCCCTCCTTCATGAACCCTTCCCAAATGAGGACGAGGGAAGAGCTTTCTGGGTTGTTGCACCTCACCTCTGGAACGCATTTTCGAGGGGGTGGGGTGACTGACACCTGCTTTACCTTGCTTGCAGCACCAATTCAAGGCTTTTTTATTTAGTATTTGTTTTTAGATTGGACTCGGTTTGCTGCTGGCTTATTGTTTTATTGGTTGCTGTTATAGGTTTATTGGGTTTATCTCCTCCTATTCTATGTATTTGCTGTGTTTGTACTGTATTTTAATCCTATTTGTTTATGGCTTTGCTTCACTATTGTTTTTCTTTTTCTTGGTATTTTATATTGCACTGTGAGCAGCCCAGAGAGCCTTTGGCTCTGGGGCGGCATGCAAATGAGACAGATCAGTAAATAAATAAACAAAAAAGCAAACATGCTGGACACGGGTGGGGAGCTTCTGGCAGCCAGAGGCTGCATGCAGCCAGCTGTCCTGCCCCTTTCACCTGCCCACATTCTCCGCACGAAGGGAAAAGGTGGAAGAGGCTGCGAGGGAAGGCAGGAGGGCCAAGCGGACGAGGCATGGCCTCTGGGGCCACGGCACACACAGAAGACCTTGTCTGGAGGCGCCCAGGCTCCGGGCCCAACCCCGATGGCGTGGGCAACTGTGGCCCCTGCCAGAGGCAGAGGAGGCAGAGCTGGCAGGCTGGCCTTGTCCTGGCCGGAAGGGCGATAGCTCTGTGCTCCCAGCCAAGTCTTTGGCACCTGCAGAGAGGGCCGGGAGCTGGCCCAGACAGAACCCCACGGGAGGCCTTGGCCAGTTTGGCCAAGGAGGCGGTGGAACAAACCTGCCAGTGGTGGCTTCTGTTGAACGGAGCCCACGGGGCTCATTTGGGCTTTGAGGGTGAGGTGGTATCCTAGAGGCTTATCTGATGAGAAAGGCTGGCAGGAACCTAAAGACCAGTTTTGCCATGAAGGGTCCCTTCCCTATGGGCCCGGCAGGGTGAGGGAGTGCCCTCCTCCTGAGGAGAGTCCATTTACCTGTGGGTAGGAGACAGCTTCTTCTTGCCTGCCTGACCATCACTTGTCACCCTCTTCTTGCTCCCACTGAAAATCCTGCCCGGTCATTTGATAAAACATGATGTTGAACGGCTTGTAAAACTTCCGCAGCCTCTGGATGACATCCCGGTCAATTTTGGGATGCGTTCGGCCCTTGGACTTGCCGAGACACCGGGGGGCACTGCTGTCCTCCGGCTTCTTCAGGCAGGGGAACCCCTTGGTCTTGTTGAAGTGGAAGTACTTTTCTGTCACAACCCTCCTGAGGCCCAGGAAGTCCTGCACCTTGGCCATCTCCCCAGCGGGGTCCGTGATGAGCCGCTCCCCACTGACGAAGTGGATCTGGGAGAGCGGGAAGAACTGGAGCCAGCTCTCCAGGTGCAGTGCGTAGATGCCGATGCGGATGGCGCTCCAGGAGGCGTCGATCAGCCCCAGGGTCCGATTCTTGAAGGCCAGCACCTCGAACGTGGAGATCTCGGGCTTCTTGGAAAGCGTCTGGGTGTAGTCAGAGATGGCCCGCGTGACCGGGTCCCGCACCACCACAATGAGCTTTGTGTCCTTGGCCATGGAGTGGATGCGCTTCGGGGCCTCGTTGGTGACAAAGTAGCTCGGCGTTTTCTCCATGGTCAGCTGCCCCTCCAGGGTCTTGGGCATCATGTCCCTGGAGGAACAGAGAGGGGAGAGGGGTCAGGCCAGCCATGGGCCCAGGCGTGTGCCCCCACCCCACCGAAAGCTTGCTGGAGCAGGCACAGCCGAGGCAGGAAGTGGCGGCCACCTGGTCACTGCTGCCTCATAGCTGCAGGGCGCTGCAGGTGTTAAAAACGGTCCCAAGAAGCCATTATACAGTCAATTTGCCATAGGCATGTGTAGACAAAAGTTAATTGACAATAAACCTGTCCCATACCTGTCTGAGCAGCAAGCCATCTGCTCAATTAAGTCGATTCACTTCAGAGCTTTGTACCAAAGTGGGACATTTAGGATTACACAAGACCTCTTTGTTATGATGACATGCTTTTAAATGTCTCTGCTAATAAAACTCAATACAGACAGAGATCCCCTGCCTCTTGTCCTATAATTAAATGTATTTACTATCTTGCGTGCAAGGAAGAGCTTTTCCTTTATCTGCGATGGGTGCGTGTGCTCAGCTGGCAATTAACCGGGCTGGCCAGCTTCTGCGGTTCCCAGGCAAGCGCTTGCGCCTGGGCAGGGGAGCATCTTTGGCAGCAGAGGGGAAGGCCGGAGGCACGCCAGGGCCTTCATGGGGCTGCCAGTGTGGGGAGGCCCTCGGGGACTCCAGGACAACAGCAGAGCAGCTGACAGCCCAGCCCAAGAGGGGCAGACGCCTGAGGGCTGGCCACGCTCAGCCCAAAAGCCCAGCTCTTGCCCTGAGCGGGCCCTGGGGCCAGGGCTGGTGGGATTGGTCCAGAGGCACTTTGCAGGGCCTGGACTGGTTGTCCCCAGCAACCTGCTCAGCCATCAGAGGTGTCCAGCAGGGGGCACCCCTGCCTCCCCCAAACCCCCATCCGAAAGCAGAATGCTGATCCGGGAGCTCTGCCTGATGCCGACTCTCCCGTGGAAGTGTTGCTTCCTGGGCAGTGGCTCCACGTGACCCACCGGCAACTGGCTGCTTCTGATGCGGCTGCTTGCAGCTCACAGCTCCAGCTGTCCCTGGGGTGCAGCCGCAAGCTGGGCCACCCCCCGGAGGCCTGCCCGTCCTGGCTGGGGCTGGGGCCTGGCAGGGAGGGGTCCAGAGAGGCAGCCCTGGAGGGAAGGCGCTGTGGCTGGCGAGGCTCCCCGCCCCAGCTGGTGGTACCACCAGCGCCACAGACAGCGCTCGGGAGGAGCGGCCAGTGGCCAGGGGCTCCTCGTCACACAAGGAGGACGAACTGTTGGGCCAGAGGGCCTCAGAGCCCCCCCCCCCCCCGGAGTGGGATGGCTGGCCTCTCTCCAGGCCTCACTGGAGTGCTACTCGCCTCCAGACCGCAAGCCCATGCTGGGTGGGCACTGCACGAGCGGAGCTGGCCGGAGCGGGGCCGGACTTGCTGGCCGGGGGCCCTTCTGACTCGCTCTGCTTCTGCGGCAAAGGAAGCGAAGGGGCTTGCGGCAACCATGGCGAGGTGCATCCCAGGGCGCAAATGACAGCTGCAGCACCACGACGATGTTGTGGCACAAGCCAGGAGCAAGGGTTTCTGCTCTGGTGCTACCAAACCTCTCCTCGGGGCTGTGGGCGACTCTTGAACAAGCTCGTCTGCTTTCCATCTTACATAGCGCTGCACTTTGTGGTGGCCTGGCATCCTGTCATGCCAGCTTGCAAGGAACTCCCAAGCCAAGCCAGCACCTCCCACGGCTCCTCTCAAATCCAGCCCTCCCCGCCAGCTCCTGGGAAGCTCAGCCGCTGCAGCCCTCCCCTGCTCAGGGGCGGGATGGTGCAGAGCTGCAGCACCTTCTCCAGGCGCATCACCAAGGAGCTTCCCGCACCAGGCCCGCTCTCACCCCTCCTGCCCCAGGGCAGTGGGCGCTCATGTAGAGGAGTAAAATTGCCAGTGGGGCACCCCCCCCCCAGTGCCCCTGCTCTCCCTACCACGTTCTTCCTTGTAATTGCCAAGAGTTAATTAGTTACGTGTGAAGCCTCTGTCCGGTTGCTCTGGCTAGCCGAGTGCAACCATTGAGCACTGCCGTCCCAAATGCAGGTTTGCCTGGCAGCCTCCCCCCGCGCCCCCCCCCGCGTGCCCCAGCAGCTCCTGGGATGCCGGGAAACTGGTTGCAGTCCAATTGAGACCTGCCAGCCTGATGGATTCCTCGGCAAGTGCTTGACGGAGCCTGCCTGGGCGTTGCTTGCCCTTGCCCTTGATCCAACCAAGGAATTAGATGAAATAATTCCTTTTACGCTGGAACATTCAACTTCTCTGCTCCATAAAGGCACATATTATTTAACTGCAAAGAGCAGGAAATTTGTCTTCTCCTATCCCCATTGTAGCAAATGCCTTTGATAGGAAAAGAAGGAAGATGCTTGAATTAATGGCTCTTAACTGCAAACTTCAAATGAGTTCTTTCTTTTGAAAGCTTATTATTTGATAAATGTGAATTTGCAAGTTGCCACATGCCCAGCCCTTTGTGACACAAAAGATCACTCTCATTTTGTCAGTCACCTTGCGTAGGTCGGCTGCGTCATAGGGGCAGCCCCCGTGACCTGCTCCAAAGGTATTTTGAGGGAGGAGGTTTCTGCCTTGACCTCGCAGAGTCTGGCATGCTGTACGCCAGCTTCTGCCCCAGGTGTCTGCCAGAGGTGGCAGCTCACTTTGTGCTGCCCCAGGCAGAGCAAGGCTCACGCCCTCCCGCACAGGACAAGCATTGGCACCCACCCTTGGGGAGGAACAGCCCCCCAGCACATTCAGCCTCAGCACCACGCCTGTTGGGATCCCAGCCAGACATCCAGGGATTTCCGAGGGATGAGTCTGCCTGCCATTAACCGCAATTCACAGGAAAGCCAGCAGCGATTTGCTGCAAGCGCCTCCCTCTGCACCAGGTTGAATTTGTCCAACAAAGGAAGAAACAGGGACACCCCCCCCCCAAATGTTTCAGCTGAAATTTGTATAGGCGTAATGTCTTGTAATCTCTTTCTGGTCTCTGAATCCATATTCAAGGCTGAACACATTAACGCAGAAATGTTGTGCTTAATGCTGGAAATAATTTTAATCTTCCCAAAGCCCCACCACCCAGGCGGCCCCTCCGGTCCCCTGCCGCTGGTCCTAATGGGCCTGTCTTGCTGTAATTCCTCAGGGGGTTTAACCTTAACCGTGGCTCAGAAACAGCTTTGAAGAGAACATCCCGGCTGCCATATGCCTCTTTGGGGCCACACCAGAAAACGGTGCTCCTGGCGGGGGCTCTGCAGAGAGAGGAAGAGGCTCGCGCAGCCGCCAGGCCTGGGCAGGAACCCGGGCAGTGCCCGGCACCCTTCCATGGGGCAGGCAGGCCAGCCAAGCCAGGAAGGGCCTGCAGCGACTTCCGGGGGGTCTCTTGCCCTTGCCCGTGGCTTTGCTGTCAAGGCACGTGAGCATCTCTGCAGCTTTTCACAGGAGCTTCCCAAGGCACTCAAAGGCATTGCAAGGCCGGCTTCACAGCAAGGGGGTCAGTGCTGACGAAGGCCGAGCCACAGCGGCAGGCGGGCAGAGGAGAGGTGGCCCGCCGAGAGCCAGCCCACAGGCCCCTGGGGAAAGGAGCCACCGTGGGTCCTTCCACACCGCCCACTGCCCACACCCGGAGGCCTGGAGGGGGCTTGCAAGCCATCCCACCATGTCTGGCTTGCCAGAGGAGGCTGGAGCGGTCCAGGCCCCACCCCTGCAGGTTTGGAAGGCCCTGCAGCCCATGGCATGAGGTGGATGTGCCCCACCAGGTCGCCCTCCTCCATCTGCTGCTCCATGGAGAGGCCCCTGCTAGACCAGCCAGAGGCCCGGCAGGGAGCAGGCGCATCCTAGAGCTGGGCAGAAGCCCACCTGGTGCAGTGTGCACTTACTGCGCATGCCTTGCAGTCGTTGCCATGCAGTTAACAGGGTGCACTCCCTGGAAGGGTCCAGGGGTGGGGGGTGTACACCTGTACAGATTTACCCAGGAGTAAGCCCATCGGCCCTGCAGTGCCTGTTTTGGAGCAAGCCTGCACCGTATTGCAGGGCCTGCCTCCAGCCAGCCAAGCTCACCTGGTGGGGGGGCTTTAATGCCCCCATGGGCATCCCCACTGCTGCAGCCAAGGCCCAACCAGAGTCTGCCTGCTCCTTGCAGCCAGACCTGCTTGTTCCTTCTCCCAAACTGCCCCTGCAGCACAACTGTGCATTAGCGACATCAAGGAAACTTTACTCTAGTCGTAGTTTGCCACAGAAAGGAGGGGCCTTATTTTTTATTTTCTAACCCACCTTTCTGCTAGAAAGGGCGCTCAGGAGAGCTTAAGAGGATGGATACTGATTCAGAACAAATTCTCAGCAAAAATGTCATGCAACACAGTGAAACAGCAACTGTGCGAGAGTGAGAGGTGAGAGACCGGTGGCCACAGAGAGCTCTGCCCCAGCCACGGAGCCACAGGGCACGCGAGCTTGGTTGCACCTGCATCTCCCTCGGGCTCCGTGGTGCCCTTCCATTTTGCCAGACACGGGGCTGCGCTGGACCAGCTCAGCGCACCTGTGCCATGCCGCTCCTGCTTCCGGGGAAGGCTCTCAAGGGAGGCCACTGCCTTGGGCCCCTTCCTCTGCCTGACTTCTGGTTCTGGGATCTGGCATCTGGACTTGGCGGAGGCTCCCCCTCCCTGGCGAACGCTGCACGTGCCACCCGAGGAAGCCTCCGGCTTCTGGGGTGGCCTCTTGCACTGGACAGTTTGTGGCCACCCAGCACAGGACATGCCTCCGCTGTGCGGGGTGCCGCCTTCAGCCGCCACCAAAACAAGAGCTGTGCCGTGCATGGGCGACGGCTGCTCTGCTCTGGCTCTGGCTCTGGCTCTGGCTCAGGCTGCAGCTTGCGTTCCTTCCCCGCAGGAGGCCAAGGCAACGGTTGCCCCAAGAACCCGGCTCCCCGGGTGCACACCTGGGGTGCTGGGGCAAGAGCGCCCAGAGGACAAGAGGCCCAGAGAGGGCAGAGAGCACAGGGCAAAGATGTTGTCTGCAGCAGGGCACGCAA